TTGCATACGTCGAAAACCAGTGATTGCGCTGAATCATATGATCGCATCATTAAGAAGAACGGTCTCCTACCGATCCTTGTTAAAATGTGTATGTTCATAAAAAATGTTCATAAAAATAAAAATGTTCATAAAAATGTGTATGTTCATAATAAACGGGCTCTTCATGCATATAAGTGAACAGAATGCAAAAAGCAGGTTTTTTGTAACTTTTTTCATAAGTTCCACTCAACTTGAAATTTTGCATTACAATCTCCTGCAACCTGCTCTTGCAATCTCTTGATGATTAATTACCCCAATCCTTTATTTGATAATGCCATTAACCCTCATTTAAAATATTTCTTTTGAATTTCCTGCGTGGTTTTGGAAACAACACGATAGCCGCTGAGGTGGGGCAAATGAACGAAGGACGGGAATAGATAAGTATGTACATTTTTCTCTGAGTGCAGACTCTACACGGATATTTATTTAATAAGCTGTAAAAATTTTCATATTTGTTTGGAAGTATTAATTTTACATTTAGTTCGATACTTTTCCAAGAATTCAATAAAGCAGGTAAATTTTCTTATTTTTGAATACCAGTTTTTAATAAATAAAACAGGTCTTAAAAAATCATACTTAGAAAATATTTTAAAATCTCCGCAGTTTAAATGTGATGGCGTTTGCTCTGTTATAACAAAAAGGAATTGAAATCGGACTCAAACAGGAATTGAATTAGTGTGCAAACTAATGACTCGCTTTACATTATTGAATAGAATGATATTTTTTTTAAAAAAATGAATATGTTTTGAATAGTAGTTTTCAGACGGTAATAATAGTTATGAAGCATTCAGAATCATGACTGCAATCAAATCCTTTCGTGAGCACAACGTTTTCTTTCAATCAGGAAAGTTTGCAGTCGTCAACTGCATAATTTTTGCTGTTTTTCTCCTTTCAAGGAGTGTGGTTTTTCTTTTACTCAGGAAACACTTTCGATTATTTTTAAATAGAAATATTTATAATGTTTTGTGAAGTTATTGCATCTTCAAGAAATTTTTTTGATGCTTATTCTAACTTATTCTATTTGGATTTTAACCCTTAATATACTACATTTAAATAATAGAAATTTATTTTGCATTTCCTACTGTTCTCTCATTAATTTAGTGGTTTCAAGCTAGTTTAGATATGCATGTGAATTCATTTCTTTGATTTTTTTTAAAACCGAGACAAAATTAATTGAATTGCTGACGTGTAAAATGTGCTATACATCTATCTACTGGAAAAATCATTTCTGACTAAGAAGAAGGAATTAAAGATAAATACTTATAAGCTTGTAATGAATGGGTATTTCTCAAACGTTTATGTAAGTATGGGTCAATTAATACACTCAAACAAAATGGTTATTTATTTTTTTTATGCTGAAGTTTTACAAATGTACACATTTTAAGATACACATGTTGAAACTTCTAATAAACATTCATCATGATTTGCTGTGCGTAGTCAGGTTTAAGAATTGGTTATTGAATAATTTAGAATGAAATTTGTTTAAAACATTACGAAATTCTTGACAGAAACATATTACGTCTATTTAACACCCTTTAAAATGTTTGATTAATTAGTCAAAATAAGTAGAATTGAAAAATGAAGAAATGTTTCTGTGTGTCTCCATAACTTTTAAAATATTAAAAAAAATCATAATGCTTGTACAATGATATATAAAAAGATGTGAATATAGCAAAAAAATATAAAATCTGAATTAACTATGATTTTCAAGTACTTTAGCTTTGATATGAAACTGACATCAAACAATACTTAAAATTAAGAAATATATTAATTCAGTGCTTCTCAAACTTTCAATACTTGTGACCCAATTTTCAATCATGATTTTCATCGCCCCCCTCCCCAACTCCCATACACTAACAATGCATTGAAAGCAATAATAATGTGTTTTGGTACTAAAACTACCATACGACCTTTATTATAAGCCACGTAAATTATCAAGATATTAAATTTTTCATATTTAAGTAATACATATTTTTAATAAGTTACTTTTAAGTAATAAGAAAAGTTTTATGTTACATTTCCTTTTTAATATTTAAATTGGAACAGATTGCAATGAAAGTACAACGTGTGTTTTTATTATGTAAGAATATATTTTGTTTTGCTTCCATTGTACAATTTTCAATTTAAATTTTTATGAATAAAAAAGGAACTTTTTTAAAAGTTGTTTTTTAACTTTAATACCTTAATAAAGCCCCTATTTTAGAAAGTTTAAAATTTTGGTATAGAAATACATTTAATTTTTATTTTTAAGTAAAAGGGGGGAAAAATTTTAAAGCCCTTTTTTATATTTTTAGGTTGGTCAAATTTTTAAAGAAAATTTTAACGCTCCATAAATTCAAATAGGTTTAGGTGGTGAAAAAGGGGGGAAAAAGACTTTTTTTTATTTTTTCTTTTAAATTTTAAAGAAGAACTTTAAATTTCCCCCAAATTTTCCATGAATGAATTTACTGTCTTTTATTATTTACAGTTCATCCATTTGAAAACTAAGCTCCCCATTTGTTGAAAAAACCACCAAAGCATTTTTTGAAGGGTGTTATACAGTCTGTTGGGTATGATCGGGGCAGAGTTTCATCTTATTTCCCCCTATTCCCCTAATTTGCATCCCTGCACAAATAAATGTGTTTCATCTCTGAAAATCACCTTCTTCTAGTCGTTAACAGTTAAGGATCAATATTTTTGTTCAATGCTAAACATCTTTTCATCTTTTTGAACTGAAACGTTTTTTTCCTCTCTTGTTGCCTTACTGTAATTCCCAGAACCCTTTTCCGTTTTAAAGGGTCACTTCAACACAAACCCAATAAACCCTTCAAAAATCTTTTCTTATCTTTCCTGGACTTATTTTGCTATTTCTTTTTAGAATTTTATCAGTTCTTGGAGTAGTTTTCCGTTTGAGCCCACATTTTCCTTTTCTTTTTGGAGACAATGTTCTTGAATCTTGAAATGTTCTTATAAAATGCTTGAAACACTTGAGTTACCCTTACCAACAACGGTAGCTGTATCTCTCACAGTCATAGAAGTGTTTTTTTAAGAGAATTATTTTAAAAAGTTCCAGGTAATACCCACCAAAAAAAAAAAAAAGTAATTTGTGTTACAAGGAACGCAAAACTGTATCCACCAGCTGCCACACTGAACGGCTCACAAATGGACAACCGATACACCAAAACAAATGAAACGAGTAAATTATAGTCAAGTTCGATCAATGACATTATCTCTAGGTAGATATAACCAATTTTAGGGGGTTCAAGACATCACTGATAATCGCTTATCAACTCAGACAAGGAAAAAGTCTTGTCCCAATTAATTCGAACAGTATAGTAAATTAATAATTTTTCTTTAAATCTTTTATTTTAGTCTCTTTGATGTACTCGCCCCCCCCATAGTAGGGTTATCATGCCCACCTAAGGGGGCGTGCCTCACAATTTAAGAAACGCTGTATTAATTATACGAAGGACTATGCCTATGAGAGATGTATAGTATAATTAAAAAATAACTGTAAATACTTAAAATATTTGCACGAAGAATTTAATTAGCCAGACAACAGTATAGATTAAATTTTATAAGAATACATCTATCTGCGTATTCTATTCTTTATTTCATAAATTATGTATAAAGATGTTTTGATTGCATAATATGCATTTTTCACATATCAAATATACCTTTAAATATAGTTTTGTTAGTTTTTCTTAGCTCTTTTTTTCAGTTGACTTTATTTTGGAACTAAAAATATTATATTTAATGAAAATTATATAAAAAAAAAAAAAGAGCAGAATCCACAAATTATGGAGGTCCATTGAAAACTATTTTATTCAAAATGTTACAAAATTCTAAACACAAACACTTTTAGAAGTTCTTTTTCTGCTTACTACTCTTCGAAATTGGTTAGATATGCCCTCATTATTACAAGGAAAAAAACCTAAAACATTCTCACTGACAATATCTTTTTACTTTTGGGGAAAAATTAAATTTCCCTTTATAAAAAAACAAATTTTCTGTACAAAACGATGCTGACCACTAACTAGATATGCATCACATAATGATAGTAACCGTGTAAAGGTGGTATGGTACAGAAATCTAGCATATAGTTTCTCTGTCTTTCAATTTATTCTTTATCATTGTCTGTTAAGCGTCTGGCATAGACCTTCGTGCAAGAATCTGAAGATTCGAGGAAGAGATTAAATCAGAGGAAACGTGACAATTTTCGAACCATTTCAGAAATCCTGTTATACTTTATCGCGCTTTTCGAAATGTTCTCTTCCATTTATTGTGACATTCAAAGTAATATTAATTCGTTTTTCTTGTCACCTGTTGCAACTATTGTAGATTTTCTGCTGTTTTCGAAATTTATATGTATGTTTTTTCTCAAATTATATGATTTGAAATAGTGTATCTATTTGGAGAAAATGGGAATCTACCTTATACCTTATACCTTGTTAAAACTATTTGATTTGATAATAATAAGAAGCATTTTTGTATCCATATTTATTTCTAAAAATGTATAGATATACTTTTTTCTTTTCTTTCTTTTTTTTTGGTGTTTTCATTTATTTGAATTAAAGACCAAAACCATAGAAAAGCAATTGACTGTATAAATCATAATTTTATGAACAGAAGCAATTAAATTATAAGAATTTTGTGTGTGTGTGTGATTTAACCCTTATATTTTAGATTCAAAAGTTATTACACCAGATTAGTTTTTAATAATGTTTCACATTCTTGCTGTGTAAATATATATATATATATGTATATATAACCTTTTAAATTATTTTTAAAGTTATACTTTTTTTGGGGGCGTTAGAGAAATAGGATGAGGGTGAATTTTTACGAAGCGCGCGCACACCGTCAAGGATGTGACGCAAACCGTCTTGAATGCGAAAATGCTTTGACTAGAAATATACAGAACGTTACAGATCATCGCCGCCTTCTCGGAACTCTCAGAAAAATATTTCTCATAATTTCCCTGAAGAGGAAACCCAGGTTTGAACCGGTGCCCTCTCGATCTGCAGTCGAATACTCTACCACTGAGCTGTACCCCCGCTTCAGATAACCTTTGCTTTGCGTTCCGTAGGAACGGATACGAAAATGCTTTGATTAGAAATGTTTAGAACGGGATAGATCATTCTCAAATTTCTCAAAAAAAAAAATTGTTCTCTTCACTTCCTTGAAGATGAGGGCTCCCGTGTTTGAAGCGAGGACCTCTCGATCTGCAGTCGAATGCTCTACCACACTGAGCTATGCCCCCGCGTCAGCGAACCTTTGCTTTCCGTAGGAACGAATAAGAAAATGCATTGTCTAGGAATATGCAGAACGGGACAGATCATTCCCGCCTTGGAAATTCTCAAAATTATTTCTCTTCACTTCCCTGAAGAAGGGGGCACCTTGGTTTGATCCGGGGACCTCTCGATTAGCAGTCGAATGCTCTACCACTGAGCATTCGTGTCTACGAACTTCTGCTTTGCGCTGATTTGTGACGTCACTACTAGTAGGGAGAAATCGTCCTTCGCATACGGAGCTTCTCTGATGCATTTGTTTGAACACTTTTTATTATTAAACCAAACATACTACAGGAAATTAAAAAGAAAATAGTAAATTAATCTTTAAATTGAAGTATCATGTACATAAAAATTAAGAAAAATATTAATTTATAAATTGTGTTTCAAATTTCAATATATGACATAGAGTATTTAAATTACACCTTTAACATAACAATTTATATATATGATTAGCAAATTATACGAAGCTTTGTATCGACTATATTTATTTATGAAAGTGTTAGGAAAAGGATAGGGTAAATTTTGTTTCGATGGTTTATTCACGAAGCGCATACCTTCTAGGTTACCGATGCGCGCGCACACTGTAGTCTAATATTTTAACATGTCACTTTTTTGCTGCTATGGGACTAATATTTGGGGGATCATAATAACTATTGTTATAAACCATATCTGTTGGGACACATCCTCCCTGTGCATTCCCCCTCTACAGCTTTTTGGCCGATATCTCGGCACCCGAGCATCACAGTCCATTAGAACCTGGCTCATTTGATCCCTCTCTATATGCTCTTTCAGTTATTATAATTTTATGCTCATAGGGCTATTTCTTTCATAGTTTTTAACTGTCTTAAACTTTTTAAATTTGTTTAAATTCACAATATCTTGGCTCCTGTTGGATTCCCGGACTTGAGATTTGAATCAAGTGTTCCACTTGTCGAGACCCATCCAGTCATCTGATTCATTCCCATTGTGTAGGCATGGGGAGGGCTTAAGCACTAAAATATCATACTCCCGTGTTAATCCTATGGGGAATGGGCAAAATTTCACCCCCTAAGGAATTGATATTGGAACTTGATTTTTGGAGGTCCGCCATATTTTTGTATTAGCGCGAGCTTTATGTGGAATTGGCCCCCTTCCCCTTACAGGACTTCTCCTCCAGAAATAACTCGAATCTCTTATGCTACCTTAGTCAACCGCACCGGCTGGATTCGATTGTTCTTCCTATGTGCATCCTAGATATATTTTTTTTCAATACCATAGCCCATTTCTTTACCCATATTTAACATTTTTAAATTATTATAGTTATAATTTTTTTAAAAATCCCGCATAGCTCCGAGGATTTTTGAGATTCGTTAATGAAACTCGGACCATAAGTTCTCCTAATTGAGCTGTTTCATCTGTTATAATTCGTGTGTAGATAGTGGACTTAGAGGGGTTTTATCATTAAAATTAGAGTCCCCATGTTTTTCCTATGGAGTTCGATCTTTTGATGAGGTAACGATATTACAGAGATAGAAGGATGAAACTTTGAGATCACCTACTACTCTGTGTATCATTGGGATGTGAGTGACCATTTATGGCACAGTTGTTTCCTCGGGGAGTTAGTTTCGTTTTCCTTTCCCAAGCTAGCACCACCCCATTTGCAACTACAGATTCCGCACCGGTTCTAATGGATTCCTCTTTTGTTTGTTCACAACCAGGCCCAGTTTCGAATTTCTGGGTGCCCTGCTTTTATTTTACTTAATTGTTTTAAATGTTTTAATTATTTTAAAATGACCATAACTCGGGAGCTCTTCAGACGGATGTCTTAATTTTCTGAGGAACGATTCTTCCCACCGAGACATTCAATATGAGGTCTCAGATGTCACATTCGGTTCACTTCAGCTCCAGATACAGTCTGATGCCCCACATGTTATTGGTCCTATTGTCCCTGTGTGTGGGGGTGTTTGAATTTATTTAAATCGTGATTATCTCAGGTTTGGCTGGTCCAATTGACTGAAGGTTAGTATCGTTCAACTCTGCTCGTGACAGCCTTTCACCCTTGGCCAAGCTTGCCCTGCTGAAGATTTTCAGAAATATTTTAATCTTGTTACGTCAAAGAAGTATAACTTCTTACCTGCGTACATAAGTACACGCACACTTTTTTTTATTTGTATGCTCAGAATGCAGGAAAATATTTTTTTCAGTAAATGTCTAACATAAGAAGAATCTAAAAGTTTTCAGCTAACAGAAATTAAGTTACACAATCCCTATGCAAATAAATTAAATTGAGATGCTTGGAACATGATTAAAATTAACTTATTAAAAAAGATTTTGTTCAAAATATAGCTTTGTTAAATTCATATTGCTGTGCACAGAATAGAAGTAAAATAATATGTGTAGAAACAAATACAGCGGATTGAGTTTTTAATAAAGGGCACAATCTTAAAAATTTATTCTAAATCATACCTGTTAATACTGTGAACAAAGAAGCACAAAAATTGAGTAATCATTTATAGAAATAAATCAACAATTATTCATTATTTAAGATATTTATCATTTTATTTTTTAAGAGAAAAACACATTTTTTATTTAATTAGCTTTTTTCAATTATAAATATCGATAATATAAGATGAAATATGAAAATGTCTTATGCATTCTCTTTGGATCAATAAAGTCTTAACAACAGATTTAATCTTTGTAGTATTACTTTCCGAAAACAGATTAAAACGTTACTATTTATAGTAAAAGAGAAAATAATTTTAATCATACGTTTTAAGAAATGCTTTCTGTATACAAATTTTAACTAACTTTTAAATTGAAAATTGTAAATATGTTAATCAAACCTTCTGAGTTTCTTTTATTTAAACACAGATTGCTCATAGGAATTATCGCTTTGCGAAAACGTGAGAATGCATGGATTCTTTTTTGTTGCTCGTTAAGTGCCCGTGATTGAAATATAAAATTAAAATCTGCTATTGTGTAGCATTAGATATAATTCAAATTTAGGGCAATGGAAAGTATACTAAGAGTAGGTCTTGTAGTTGTTCAACATTTACAAGGAAAAAATGAAGCTCATGAACGATTGAAATTGATAACAAATGTATGAATGACTAATAAATAGTTCTGATTGGTGTAAATGGATTTAAAAAAATGGCTAAATTAATTAAGACAGTCATTTTAAAAGATAAGTATATAATTTATGTAAGATTTCCAATTGACATATATAGCTTATCATCTATTCCGACAGCCATATAATTGTGCAGCTTTACAGTCATATTTTTATACAACTTTGTTATATAAATCCGAAATTATAATTACAAAAAACAGTTTTGAAATAATATTAATGCAACGAGATAATGTTTTTGACATGTTATTAATTATAGTAGAGATTTTATTATTAAAATGTAATACATAGAATGATAAAACATAATAAAACATTTTTTTCTTCTTTTGGGCGTTTCAGATATTAAATGTTCTTATGCAATATTTTTTTCTGATTTATTAAAGTTTTGGATCCAGTGAATTTTTCATTATTAACCTTTGACTGTTCACAAAAAACGTGACAATATAACTTCTTATTGAACATACAATACATAATTCACGCTATTTACCTATTCATTCTTTCAAATATTCAAATTCCTTCTATTCTTCGGGGAATGAATTAGCTTTATAAAATTTATCCCTTGCTTTCATAACATACATTCTGTATATTCCTTGTTTTCATAACAAGCATTCTGTATATTCCTTGTTTTCATAACTTGCATTTATTGAAAAATCAACAGTTTTGAGAAAAGAGTTCCCATTCCTCAATGAGCATCTGTGTCAGTTATCTGGTGTTCTCCGGGGTATATAATCGTACTGTCAAGTGGTACCATTTTATACTCCGCATCTCACAGCATTTGGGCGAGATCTTCAATCAGGGTAATATTCTGGTCAATCCATTCTACGGAGATTTTCAATTTCTTGAAACTCCTGGATAGCATGAGATCTGTGTAGTTAAGGGTTGTTGATCATTAAAACAAAGTTTAAGTCAAAGATACATCGGAACTTGCGCTCATGGGAAAGAATAACGTAATCAAGGTAACAATCACAGGTAAATGAAACTGTCGAAATTTTTGGAGCTCCGTTCATCCGCTTAAAATAATGATTTCCCACACAAGCGCATCAGGGTCAACCGAAAAAATGTCTCTCTTTCTAGTTTTAGTGGCATGAAAGCGTGTTCCCTAACCTTTGTCTTAATAAACTGAATCTGATACTCGTTTATCATACTGAAGCTACTCTCATAGGTAAAATGGACTTGTCTTCATTGAGAATATATCCAGTCTTTATGCATATTAACCTCTATAACCATTCTCACAGATAGGCTTCATTCAATGGTGTACAATTTTCAGGAAGACGGGAAAAAATTCTACACGTCAATAAATTGGAATACCTATCATCCGGATACCTTAGGAAGCTTCTTAGCAATGTTGGTCCTTCTTTTTTTATTTCAAGCTCTATGTTTTTTTCGCTTTACAACAATATTCGGTTGTAACTTGTCATTGTTTCCTCCTTAGTCAGCCAACAGGATGTTTTCTCATAGTTATAACTGCCCTTATGAAAAGGCTTTCCAAATTAGTGACACAACACTTGTGTCAATTCCAAACTCTTAAAAACACTCTTCAAACTACGACGCTCCTCAAGTTTGCTGGTTTCCCTATAACTTGTGAAGGGATTTCTTGTAGCCATATACATACCATATCTTACTACCACTGCTAGCAAGTATTAAAAATCCGCTTTTACATCCTCTTTTCGAGTTTGTTTTCGAGGTGTGTTGATCCTGCGTGTTTTACATGCTTTGAAGTTACCTCGGAAGTTTTGCTCCTGGTATTTAAATGTATATGCAACATCTTTCTACTGAATTTGCGTTTCGTTGTGCTGACTTCTTATCGCAAACAGTCATTTCACGGCATTATCCGTAAAACAAAAAATGACGCGGCTATCTTAAATT